GCCCGGGCGGTCGCAGTGTGCCCCCAGCCCGCCAGCTCGGCTCCTGCCAGGACAGGCAGTGCACAGGAGGCTTTGCAGCATGGCGAGCAAGGGGAGCGGGCTGGTGCTGGAGGGGTGCGCAGGGGGAATTCGCCACTGTTTCATTGCCTGCAAAATGTGCTTGCCCCTTGCTGCCCCCAGGGAGGGGGAGAGGCAGAGGCTGGACCAGGAGAGGGTGCGGGGAAAAAAAAGGGGGAGGGCGCCGTTGCAGCCGGGAGCCACAGCTTCAGCCTGGCAGCAGCCGTCCAGCGAGATGGGCGGCTGCATCTCCTGCTCGCCCCAGCATGCGTCCTGCTGCAGCTGGTGGGGCTGGGCTCTCCCCCGCATGCATCCCGTTGTGGCTGGTGGGGCTGGGCTCGCCCCCCAGCTCCTGTCCCATCCTGTCCCCAAGGGCTGCTGTGCTGCTGGGTGGCACATGGATGCCTTTAACCCTCTTGGCAGCGCTGCTGGCCCCCTGTGCCCAGTGCAGACAGAGCAAAGGAACTTGGTAATGCTTGACAGAGCAAATGGCTTGGTGATGTTCTAAAAACAAGTCGGTTCTTGGTCGAACCTTGTTTCTTGGGCTGCAGAGCCCTCAGGTTCTCCTGCCCCTCCGAGGTGGGGCCACAGCTCTTCTCCAGGACAAGGTGGCTCCTGGAGGCAGCAAAATCCTGCTGCCAAGCAGCTTCTTCTGATGATACGGAGATGTGGTGGTTAGCGAGCTCTGTCAAACTCCTCCTGCAGGAAGGAATGGTCCATGTGGGTCTTTCTCTCCTTACCTGTTCCCTTCATGAATACAAGTGATCACTCAGCAGGGGAGAGCTGGCGTGATCACGTCCCCCGTCGGAGGGCAGGGGTGCAAAGTGTCAGGCAATCCTGACTGCAGCACAGCTGCTGTCCTTCCTCCGGCCCTTTCGTAGTGACCCAGCTGTTGGGCTGTGAGGGGCGCAGGGTTTTGGAAGAGCAGAGCCTTCAGCTGGCTTCTTCCCTCCTCTGTCCAAATGGTCAGTGGAGCCAGAGGTCTAGGGATGGCTTATCTTTCTCGCGCTCGTTTCAGACCCAACGGCTGGGACAGGACAAGCCTGCAAGGCTTGAGACCATGCACAACCCTCCAAACCTGGGCTCAGCTCCACAACAGACCATTCTGGCCATGCAGCGTTTATTCTGCAACATGAAGCTGATGGCCTGCATTGCTATGAGAGGACATTGCTTTGGGCCATGGTGTCAGGATCACGTGGCTTCCAGGACAGGATTGTTAGGTTTGGACAACAGTTATGGCACCGAGGGGACAGGTCCCATGGGAGTCACAGCAACCCATCTGCCAGCCACTGCTGGCCTTTCCTCTGCTTCTTTGAGGTCCTGGCTGCTTCTGGGAGTCACCTGAGAAGTGACACCACAGGTAGAGCTGACTTGGTATGAGTTGCTGGAACACAGGTGAGAGCAATCAGGAGACGCGTTTTTAAGCTGTAAAAGGAGAGATTGGTGGATGGAGAGGCTTCATCAGGCACGGTCCTGAATCTAATTTTCCAGCAGAAAGGGACAGCCTTGAATTTCATCTCTAGCATCGCCAGGATGGTGTGGTGGTAGAAGACCATTTGCCAGCCCAACTTGCTAATGATGCTCCCTCTTGGACTTCAAAGTAACTTTGAGGGCAGACGTTATCCTGGGAAGAGGGGCACTTGGTGTCATAGCAAAATAGCTAGTTTGGGTAAACAGCCTTCTGGCCCATCACTGAAACTCAGCAAGGAGGGTCTGGTTTCAGAGTGGGATCAGAGAGGCTGGTTTGTATCCCCGGTCCTCAGCCCCTCGCTGGTGAGCAGGGAGCAGCGGGTGAGACTTCATCCTGAGTGCAGTCTACCAGCCAACACTCAGCTCAAGAGGGTGTACAAGCTCCGGAGAATGAGTTTGCTGTTTTATCGCCCCCTTTCCAACAAGTGGAGGTGAGATATCCTGGCCAGGAAGGTAGAGGAAGAGAAGACAAAGTAGAGGCAAGCTCATTCCCAACAGGTTGCTTGTGTTGGCCACCTTCAGCGTTACCATTCCCACCTCTCATTCCCATGCTCAGCCTGGGGGGACTTGCAGCGTAACCCACTCACGGGGGCACAGGGAGGCTGGGTGCTCCGGGCAAAGCTTTAATGGCCCACCGTGGGCAGCTGGCAGATGTCAGGGCATCGCTGGGCGGTGTTCATTTCTTTCCATCTTGCTGGAAAAGCGAGGCAGGAACCTGGAAACCTGCCTTGGGCGGGTGGGAAGGTGGGAAGGGAACGGTCCTGCCTGCCCAGAGCAGGGCTGTAAGTCAGGCCACGTGGTATGGTTCATTGTTGGAAGACTTGTGTCTCCATTTGGAGAAACCTGCTGGACTGACCGTCCCCATGAGAGCAGGCAGTTCCCAGGCAGCCACCCCTGCTGTTCCTGCCCAAAGCTATGCAGGAGGGCAGCAGGTAGCTGGTGCTGCCCTCCAGCCTGCCCACGCAGCCCTCCAGCGCCGGGATGGTGCTAGCCCAGGCTCAGAGGGCTTGAAACTCACCCTCGCGAGGAGGTTCCTCCCCTACTAAAAGCATTCATGGGACCAAAAGTCCCCCTTGAGCCCTGCTCTGGATCTGTGGGAGGTCTTCTGGTCACAGCAGCTAGGATACCTTCACTGCCCTGTGTAGTGTCACATCTCGTCACATTGTAAACTAATGGAATCACTGCCCCATGTCACATCCTGTCCCGTCCTAAATTAATGAGCTCACTGCCCCGTGTTGCATCCTGTTACTGTATGTCCAGACTCGACGCGGTCACTGCTTTGTGTTGCATTCTGTTGCGTCTGAAATTTCTGCAGTTTACTGCCCCGTCTCATGTCCTTGGGTAGCAGAAGCTGTCAGCAGACAGCCCAACTCCGGCGGCTCCGTTTCCCATGAGGTTCCTTCTGAAATACCGCAGCTCGCTCTGCCTCTTAGGACATCTGTTGTTTCACTGAAGGAGGGGTGAGGATTAGCGTAGGACCTAGCGAGGGAGGGGAGAGCTGCACCATCAGAGAGGGAAACTCAGTGATGGTGCTGGTGGGAGCCAGTTAGGATGTGAAAAGAGCAATGAGGAGGAATGGATATCAGCAGTTTTTACACTGCAGCCCACCCACGCACCCTAAGGGGTTGCTCCATGAACTTTCCCAAGAGATTTGCACTGTGTGTGCTGCTTTTCCCTCTGCAGGGCAGGCAGAGCCAGTGCCTTGTTGAATAAACCACTTTGTTATTTGGCACTGCAGCTTCTGATGCAGCACACTGGTGTTCCCTGTTGCCTGCTGTGATTCATCCTCTGGGAGCTGGAGGTGGAGGAAGGGCATGAGGCCAGTGTGCACGTCCCCCTGTCTCCTGGCTAGATTAAAGATGGAGATGGGGAGCAGAGCACAGCAAGGAAGGAGAGTCCAGAAGTAGTTTAGGATTGCAAGCAGAAATGTGGCTATGGGGTCATCCAACCCCAAAGCCTTAAAGCCTAGTGGTAGTGGTCAAGGATGCAGATAAATACGTGCATGCGTAAGGTCTTCTCTTTGGAGGAGACTTGTCCTGATTTAAAGCACTGGAGCTGTGCTCAGGACAGCTTCCCACTTGGTGTGTCTGCCTTGCGGGGTCGAGTAACAATAGCCATGCTGGCTTTAAACCAGCCAGCTTAGTACTGGTCTAGGTCCAAAGCTAATTGGGTGTCTCCACACTAGTCAGCAGCATGGGCAGATGCACCCGGAACAGCTCCAGAGTCTGTAAATGTCAGGACGGCATTCACACTGGGCGCAGGGCTGTAGAGGTGGTGGAGCTGCCTTAGCTTTTCAGCGTCCCACTCCTGTTCCTGTGAGCTTGCTGACTTAGTCACAAAGCCACCAGAGTGGTCATCGACTCCTAGGGGACTCCCTTTTGGACTAGCCAGGTCCTTGGGATGAGCAACACCAGAGACTGTGGCAGGGCAGGGGAGAAAGGTGCCAGCAGGAAGGCGGGGAGGGAGCTGGCATGGCACCACCAGCACCACAGCCAGCGGCATGTCCCTACAGGAGCACCAGGTTGCCCCCCCGCGCCTTTCATTTGCCCCTCCATGAGGACCACGAAGGGTGGCTCAGGAGCTGCTGCCTCTCACGTGCCGTGCTCTGCCTTTCTCACTCTGTGTCTCTTCCTGTTCCATCTCTTCTCCTTGTTTTTCCAGAAAAGAAAGTCCAGTTCCAGCGTTCAGTTAATGGTGAGTGTCCTTCATCTTCCTCAATGCCGATATTGCTGGGCCTCTCTACGTGTTCCAGCTTCCCCTGTTTTTGGAAGTTACCTCGGGGTAGGGAAGAAGGGACACTGGGGTTGGAGGGAACATCCTCAAAGCCGTATCACCCACAAACCCCATTAACAGGGTTGGTGCAGGCACTTGCTGGCCACCAGCTGGTGGGAAGCCAGCCCTTGTTCTTGCTGATGGGTTCTCATGCCGTTTCTCCCAGTTCTCCTGACTCAGGTCTGCAGGCTGCATCGGTCCAAGGAGCCTTGGAGAAACACCTTCCATGCCTCTGCGGGGACTGTATGGTCATGGGACACCTTGCCAACCTACATCGGGGTATTATGGGTAATACATAAGCAAGGCTCTGCTGGGAAGAGCTAGCAGAGCCATTGCTCTAGCTCCGCTAGCAGAGTCGCCTTGATGGGGCTTCTGGAGAGAGATGGGGAGTCAGTACCCCCCTCCCCCCCAAATCTGTGTAGTGCTCAGCTGTTTCTTGAAAGAGCTGTGTCTTAGCCTTCGGTGGTCCATGTGGGTCTTGGAAGCACTCTGTTTTATTGTACATTTCTCTCCCTACTCTGCGGTCAGTGTGGTCTCTCTCACTCCTGCACAGTCCCCTCTTTCTCATCCCAGCTCCTCCTCGCTGTTAATTTGTACATCTCTCTCTTTATCGTACAGTCAACATGGTGTCTTCCACCTCTGCACAGCCCCTCTCCCTGCCCCTCCGGCAACACTCCTAGGAACCCACCAAACCCCCCCCGGACCTGCCCCCATCTCTGTTCCCACAGGCGTCGGTAGGAAAGGCAGCGCGTTCCTATGAGACCCTCTACAGCCCAGCTCTTGTGCCCTTGGCTACAAGGAGTGGAGGTCAGGGAGGGCTCTGCCAGCACTGCCCTAGAGCTGTGGTTGAGGACGGGTTGGACCTGCTGGCGTTTTCCTTGGTTTCTGTCCATTGGCACAGTCAAGCGCTGTGGGGTCGGACTTGGGGGGGCTGTCGAACACACGAGCTCTGTCTGGCGCAGGGTGAAGACCCCTCTCACCATCCCGTCTCTCCTTTCTGTTCTTTGCTCAGGAATCGTCGGAGAGCACCAACACCACCATCGAGGATGAAGACACCAAAGGTACTGGCAGGAATGGGGCGGGCAGGCTGTTTCGGAGGGGTGCCCTGGGGTCGTTAGTCCGGCCACCCCTAATGAGATATTGGCTATGGCAAAACCCATGACCATCGAGCTGCCTTGGAGCCCTTCAGAAGTGGCTTTCATTCCTTAGGGGTGAAATGCCACAGGTGGTTTCACTGCTGGGTCACCATCACGAGCAGTTGGGGCACTGCTGGAGAGGACGGGGGGGCTCCCAAAAATGGGGATGTTCCCTGAAAACAGGCATGGAAATGGCAGAAATCTGCAGGGATAGCCGCCTGGCTGCCCGCTCCTCCAAAATAAATGGCCCTTTGGGAAAAGCCTCCAGGGGAAATCCCTGCCTTCTGCCTGCCAGAACCAGCTTTCTAAGAATAACCCAGGGAATAATTTATCAGTGCTAATTTGTAAAGTCTTTCAATGAAGTGATCTCAGCACAAAGCAAGATGGACTTTGGTCTGACATGAGAGTTAATGGGACATTTGTCCTCCTGGGGAATGGCTCCCCAGGAGCAGACACGGAGGCAGGTGTTGCTCGGGAAGTGATGGGGGTCCCTCTCCTCCTTTCTGAATGACTCTAAGGAACGTGCTCCCTCTCCTTTCATTAGCTATGGTACAAAAAAAATTAAGTCAAGCATGATGCCGATTTGCATTTGAAGCTGAGCCTCCTTAATAAGCCCAGGCTTACCTCTGACAGCTCCTCCTGCATCCCGGGAGGATGATAAGCCAGCATTGCCCAGGGTGCCCGGCAGCAGCCACACAGTGCCGTGCCCTTCACAGGGTCCCTCCTTGTGTCTCCCAGGGTGGACTGTCACATCACCCGCCTGTTCTCCACCCAGCTGAGATCCTCTCCTCCCATCTCAGAGGGAGGTGCGAGTATCCTTGTCCAGCCTGCCCTGGCTGGCCCCAGCTCTGAGTTTTCGGGGTAGAAAGTCCTGGGTTGGCAAGGCTTTGCAGCCAAGACCAGCCTGTGCCACCTTTTTGGGCTGAGGGCAGTTCACCACTGGGTGATTAACCCTTTTGCTCTTTAGGAAAATACAGGGTTTTTCAGTTTTGCCCTGACTTTGGAGGTCTTTCCTCTCCGGGATGAAGAGCTCTTCCCCACATCTCTCTACCAAGTCCCTCTCCTGCTTTTCCCCTGGACAGCTTCCAATGGCCCTCAATGTCCCACCGTCTGTCTCTAATGAGAAAAAGATACTTCGCTGATATTGCAACGCCAGCACTTTTGGTTTGTTTTCTCCTTTTATTTTCTTTTTCTCTTTAAAACAACAGTACGGAAGCAAGAAATCATTAAAGTCACAGAGCAGCTGATTGAAGCAATAAGCAACGGCGACTTTGAGTCCTACACGTGAGTGTGCCCAGTGCAGATTTGGGCCGGGGCGGGGGCTCAGCCTCCCGGAGCGGGTGCTCTCACTGTGACAACACAGCCCAGGAGGTTTTACTGCTGCCCGGGGCAGGGTGACCAGGTTGACATGGTGGTGGGGCATGGAGACCATCCAAGAGAAGCAGGGGACATAATTTTCCAAACCTGGTGCTTCTTTCACATTAAGCTGACCACATCTCTCTGGTCTCATTGTCATGGATGAGCCCATTTTCTGGTTTGCAGAAAGATGAGTAACTGTAAATGTGATTTATGGTGGAAGAAGGAACATTGCATCCATGATATCCATTATATCCAGATTGCTGCAGGCTGCTTGGAAGCGTAACTGCTTTCTACTCGCTGAGCTGATGCTCCTCAGAGTATGCTGATTCTGTGTCCAAGGCCTATTTAATTAGTGATTTCTGAGCGAGTGCAGATCTTCATCCCTGCCTCAGAGAATCGCAGCAGGGATATTTTGATACAGAGCAGAGAATATGAGTTTTTCCCTGCTGTTTTTCTTTCTTACAAAGAAATGGCAGTGTTCTGGGAGGTTTAACGGGAGATGGTGACCGATGGAGAATTCACCCTGCCTCACTGCGGTCCTGGCTGCAGTCAGTGGGCTGGGGGTGAGGTGGAGTGGGCTTCATGCAGAGTGCAGGGACAAGGTCAGACTTCTGCTTGAATTGCTGACTGGGGCAGAGGCTCCTTGGTCTCAGGCTGAGGGGGAGTCATCCCGAGTACGAGCCGTTTGGGTTTTGCAGGCTCTGATGCCAGAAGCAGTGAGATAACCTCTCCCTGTTCTCTCCCCTTCCTGCCTCCCCAGGAAGATGTGCGACCCTGGGATGACTGCCTTCGAGCCCGAGGCTCTGGGCAACCTCGTGGAAGGCCTGGATTTCCACCGATTCTACTTTGAAAACTGTAAGCAGCCCCCTTGCCTCCGAGGGACCCTTCCCACCTCCCATGGGCCCAGCTGTGTCTTGACCTCCATCAGCTCTCTCCTACCCCAGGAGAGAGGAGGGTAAGGGTGGCTTTGGGAGCATCTCTGGCTGATCTGGAAGATCCCAGCAGGAGGTGAATCAAGCCTGTTAGGTCAACTGGGGCCGGGCTGTATGCAGAGGAGTTGTTTGGTTTCTATGTGGACCCATCCTGAACTCACCCACGCAGCATTTACTCAGCCCCTCCAAGCAGAGAGCTTAACCCAGGCATCTCCCCTTCCCACATTGCTGCCACCCTGGGCAAGAGCCATCCAAACTCCTTCCCCTGCCTAAAGCTGCCTGTACTTGTCCCCTCTTCAGTGTGGTCCCGAAACAGCAAGCCCGTGCACACGACGATCCTGAACCCCCACATCCACCTGATGGGGGATGAGTCCGCCTGCATCGCCTACATCCGCATCACGCAGTATGTGGACACAGGAGGGATCCCCCGCACCGCCCAGTCCGAGGAGACCCGCATCTGGCACCGCCGGGATGGCAAATGGCAAATCGTCCACTTCCACAGATCCGGCGCGCCCTCTGTCCTACCGCAGTAAGCCCTGTGAGGCTCCGGGGATGGGGCAAGGGGTGCATGGGGGGGACGGTGTGGGCTCCTTGTGGCATTGAGGCTGCAAAGTGGGTGGGATCCTGCCCTGAGCATCTGCGAAGGGGAGGAAACGGCCGATGGCTGTGAGACAGCGATGGGGAGAGGGATGCTCTGCCAAAGGGATGGTCGAAGCAAACTCCCTCTCCGCCTGGTTTGTGTTTTGCAGCTGAAGTGCGGTCCTGCCTGTGTGGGGTTTGTCACTGACTGACTACCAAGGGGAGACCTCCTCCAACATCTTCACCTATGGGACTTTGGCTGTTGGCTCTGCTGCTTGGTTCCTGCTGGAATAACCCCTTGCTTCTCATTGCACACACACAACGACCCTGCCGGCACTGCGCAAGCATCCCATCGACACCCCCCCATCCCACCGGGGCCAGGGCACTGGGCCCCCTTCCTCTGCATGAACCGAGAAAAGAGACACCATAAACCTAAACCCGAGCATCTGGCTGGTGAGATGACACGTGCCGAGGTAAAGGCCTCCCTCCTTGGCTGCATGGCATTGGTGGGACCCCCCACTACTCAGCACGTCTCCTGAATTGGGCTCGGACTCGTCATCTGCCTCCATCCCCACCTCTGCTGGGAGCCCCCCAAGGAAGAGGAGGGCAGGGGGGCAGTTTTGAGCCGCTCTATGCCGCACCCTCTCTGCGCACTGGCGGATTTTGCTTTGCTGCTGTCGAGGTCCCCATCTGCCGCCG